AGTTTTCTTTTTGAGAGTAATTACAGTTGCGATCCTGGGAAATGTAGGTAGGGTGTGGAGTGAGAAACCTATTATTACCATTTTTATTTATGGTTTTAGGCTTCAGGGGGTGATTTGGGTGGCCAGTTCTCTGGTAGTTTTCGTTAGTCTGCGTGTAAGAAGGCTTGATACGTTGAAACCCACCACCCGTTTTGCAACTTGGAGGTGTTGAAGGCAAGTTATACGATAGCAGCGGGGAGAACCTGTTCACTGTTCTTGGGATACCTGTAGAGCAGTTGGGTTCAATCTTACGTGTTTCCCTATTCGGTATCATGAGTTTTGTCTTCCCACCCTTTATTTTCAGAGCAGGATTCTTTCGTTGTCTTTGTGAGATGAACTTACGTTCATTCAAATCTACTTGTGGAATGTCTTTAGGAGGACAAATTTTCAAGTGTATAGGTTTAGTTGCACATGTGTTGTTACACGACTCGCATTTTAGTACATTACTGAACGAACAGCTGGGATTAGTCATGTCGTTATGGCTTTTGGTGTCAGTTGGGGTCCGTATCTTATCCAAAGGTTTCTGATCTGTAGACTCATCTAGATCAACAGAGTGATCAGCCGTATGTGGGTTGGTGTCATGCTTAATGTTCGTGTGTTTTAAACTATCTGCAATTCCACAGGACTTTCTGAAGTGGACCTAAGCGCTGACTTGGTGTTCCGGAAACTGCAGCACTTAAGACTTGACACTTCTCCTGGCCCGGATATGGTTCATCCTGCCATACTGAGGGAGGCAGCCTCAATCCTGGCAACGCCGCTTAGCGTGATGTTTTCACACTCGCTTAGCCGAGGCAAACTACCGGAAAATTGGAAGTTGGCTCACATCACACCAATTTTCAAAGGTGGTCGACGCAATGAACCTTCAAGTTACCGGCCGGTAGCTCTTCTGTCGTTACCTTCAAAACTCATGGAGTCCCTGATATGCGACGGTTTAAATGACTACCTACTGTCCTTAAATTTCTTCTCACCCCAACAGCATGGTTTCAGGAAGGGTTACTCTTGTATAACCAACCTGCTGACTGCGGTGGACAGATGGACAAGCATCCTCGATCGCAAGGGAAAGGTTGATGTCATTTACCTTGATTTCTCAAAAGCTTTTGATAAGGTTAACCACTTGTGTCTTATCAACAAGCTCAAACGACTAGGTATCAAACCACCTCTAATCGACTGGCTTACTTCATACCTAAAAAATCGACACTTTAAGGTTAGGGTTAATTTCACTTTATCTCAAGCTATGGAATGTCCTAGTGGGGTCCCCCAGGGCTCAGTACTAGGGCCTCTTCTCTTCTTGATCTACATAAATGATCTTCCTCAACAGGTAACGTCAGACTTATTACTTTTTGCCGACGACGTGAAACTTTGGAGAGAGATACGCAACCAAGACGATATACAGGCACTTCAAGAGGATCTGACTCGACTTCATAGTTGGGCAGACGATAACGGACTTACCTTTAACACTTCTAAGTGTAAAGTAGTCCATCTGCGACATGTCGCAAACTACAGTTACAACTTAGGAAACACCTCTCTAGTAGTATCCCAAGTCGAAAAAGATTTAGGAGTCCTGGTGCCCCATGACTTAAAGTCTTACGCTAACTGTGACAAAAATGCCTTCCGAGCAAACCTTGCACTGGTAACGTTGAGGCGCATTTTTGGTCAGTTTGACGGAAGAACTTTCCACACAATCTTCAATAGTTTCATCCGTCCCCATTTAGAGTACGGAAACATAGTACTCCCCCCCTCACTCCAAAAGGATAAGGTCACTTTGGAGCGTATCCAACGGCGAGCCACGAAATCAGTTCGAGGACTCAAATCTAAGCCTTACGAAGAACGCCTCCGTTCACTAGACCTTTACCCACTAGAATATAGGCGTCTTAGAGGTGATTTATTAATGGCTTATAGTATTCTTAACACTTCTGGACATCCTCTTAAACACCTACTTAAGCTTAGTTCGAACAATAACCTAAGGGGTAACACCCAGAAACTGGAAACACAACATAGCAAGACGGAATGTAGACACAACTTCTACTCCTTAAGAGTTGTCAAAAGCTGGAATTCGCTGCCGGCCGAGCTAGTCCAAGCGACTTCTCAGGAGTCCTTCAAGAGGCAACTTGACCTATTCTTAAGGACCAAGGACAGCATCGCACTATGATTTACCAATTTCTTTTCCTCTTTTATTGTTAACATACCTAGGTTCCTGCCTGGAGGATTTGGTGATCCCCTGCTACTAGACACGGAAGCCTGTTAAGCGAAAGCTTCTTCTATTCCGTCCACAACCATTTGAACCATTTGAACCATTCCGTCCACAACCATTTGAACCATTTAAATCGATCAAACGCGTGACCTTGAGCCCGTGATGACCGCATTTTACAACTAGGTGCGTAACCAAGGGGGCATCAGAATGCTCCACAAAACGGAAAAGAATATACGGTTAAGAAGCAAAAAAATTGTGTAGAGTATGCGGATCAAGTACAGTTGTGTCAAATACCCTTTTCTTGTTTGATTTAGGTATGCATGATATATTGAAGCAATATTTCGTCAATTCACCCAAGTAACGAATTGGTTTGCACCTCAGAAGTGTGTAAGTCCTATTACTCATTAGTATTATGAGTGATTAATTGGTGTAAGGAAATATTGAAGTCACTTCCTCCGTGGTCTGATGTGGCTTAACGGCTAAGCACGCGGTCTAGCATTCAGGAGGGCAGAGGTTCGAGTGAATGTGGGGCCTGCGTTTTTGTTCACCACACCCACCTTCAATACGATGTTTGTTGCCCGTAAGTCGCGCACATATGAGAGAAAAAATGACAAGAGGACAGACTGATATATCGAAGTGCCATATTGGAAAAGTATAAGTTCTTTGTTTACATGAATATTATTACTATAGAAAAAAAACTACAAGTTTAGTAAATTTCCAATTTACGTCATATTTAAACCAAAGAATATATATATATATATATCAGTTATTGACATAAAATGTCTTTTTTATAACGCTAATGTTAAGTTCCAGGACTTTGTATGGGCCACTAATAATAATTGGTTTAACGTTAGCATAGTCGTGATATTCATATTGTCAGTTCAATGTTATGATTACTAAACAGTTCCCTTATAAGTTGTTTAAAATTAGGTATGTGGAATCAATGCGGCTGACATAGTAACCTTACAGTAACGCACTGTACTATATCTTCACGGTTATTGATTCTTAAATGTCAGAAGTTAAAAAAATCTGAATATTGCCAATAAAGATGGGTTATATGATCACACTAAAAAGCATGCTGCAAGGAAACTGGTTAAGATCATTACGTAAGTTTCCTAAACATGAAAAAAAAATGATGAGAACTTTAATAAGTACTTGACCATGGTTTAATCCAAAATGTTTTGTCTAGAAAATTACTTAGTAATAGTAGTATTAATCGTATCAAGCTACTAAGCATATCCCCAACCAAAAACTTTTAGAAGTAATTCATATGGTATATATGTATAGCCAGTCTACGTGAAAAATGTATATAAATATATAAGAAGTACAGCCAACATAGTTAATTAACCAGAAAAAGAAATTATAAAACTCGCCTGGGTTGCTTTTTGAATTCGTTGTATTTGCCAGTGTTAGTTGTATGAGTTTGATTAAAATCCTCAGCCACCGTTTCGGAATACCTAGTTATGTGTCCAGTATTTTAAAAAATATTTAACATAACACGTATATATCAAAGGTAAAAGGTCTGGGGAGTTGTCGGTGAGGCGGAATGAGGAAAAAAAATATTTTTAAGTAGATGCAGGGTGTGATTAGCTGCGTGGTTGGATTTTATCCCGCAGCCGAAACTGTCAACATCCTTGACTGACTAATTGGATGTGCCCAGCGAACCGTTTTAGTCATTTGTAAAGATTTATTATCTTTACATTTCGATTCCGTAGTGGATTTGTTAGTTAAACGATCTAACAACACGTATGGTGGTTCATGATCTAGATAAGCCGGCTTTAGCCTATCAATACTTACTGTGTCGATGTTTCCATGTTTTTCTATCACGAAATATTTAGATTTTCTTGAGACGACTTTGAAAGGACCTTCAAATGGAGGACTGAGCGGTGCTTTTATTTTGTCACATCTTATCCAGACGTGCGTGCAATTGCTTAGGTCTTTAGGTATATATACGGCGCGCGATTGTTCACGAGTATTAATCGGCTTAATTTTAGACATGTGGCCCCGTAGTTGATCTACATAGTTTTCTAAATTAAGTTTTTGACTGTTAGTATTAGGGTTAATAAATTCACCTGGTAGTCTCAGAGTTGTTCCGAAAACCAGTTCCGCAGCTGAACACTGTGCGTCAGTTTTGACAGATGTTCGTATTCCCAACATAACTAACGGTAGGAATTCTGTCCACTGATTGGGGTTTGAGTGAGATATAAGGGCTGTTTTCAGCTGACGGTGAAAACGTTCTACCATCCCATTAGCCTGAGGATGATATGCAGTGCAGCGTATCCTATTGGAGCCTAGAAGTTTAGCCAAGTTATTAAATAGTTCGGATTCGAATTGCGCTCCTCTATCCGTCGTTATTGTTATAGGTGTACCAAAAATGGTTACCCAGTTCTGCATGAAAACTTTGGCTACTGTTTCCGCTGTGATGTCCGCTATCGGAATGGCTATAGGGAATCTGGTAAATCGATCTATGCATGTAAAAAGATAATTAAAACCGTTTGAACGTGGTAAAGGACCTACCAAGTCGATATGCACATGGACAAAACGTGCATCTGGTTGCGAGAAAACACCTATGGGTGAATTTGTGTGACGATTAATCTTTGATTGTTGACATGCTGAACACTCTCTAACCCATTTTTGTACATCCTTCTGTAAATTCGGCCATATATATCTGGCATTGATTAGTTTTGTTGAAGCTTTCGCGCCAGGATGAGACAAATAATGAAAGTTATTATATATCAGCTTTCGCATATTTTTGGGAACGAAAGGTCGCGGCATTGCCTTGGTCGTGTCACATTAAATTAGAATACTATCGATAGGTGATGGTAATTGTTTTAAATTAAGACTTGAATTGTTTGTTTTAAGTAGGTTTTGTAATTCTAGATCCTGCTCTTGTTCGTGTCTTAACGTCTCGAAGTTTACTGTAGACTGCTGTAGCACGTTCATTTCTAGTCTGGATAAAGCATCTGCCGCCTGGTTGTCTTGACCCTTGACATGTCGGATATCGCTTGTGAACTGTGTTATATAGTCAAGGTGTCGGACTTCTCGAGGTGAGTATTTATCGGCTCTCGCTTTTAATGCATTCGTTAGTGGTTTGTGATCCGTAAAGACTATAAATTCCCTACCTTCTAACATGTGTCGGAAGTGTTTAATGGTCAGATAGATTGCAAGAAGTTCTCGCCCGAAGGTAGAGTACCTTGTTTCGGCTGGAGCGAGTCTTTTTGATAAGAAAGCAATTGGTTTCCAGGCGTTTTTAACCAGTTGGTTAAGGGTACCGCTTACTGCTTTATCTGAAGCATCCACCATCAAAGGAAGTGGGGAAAGAGATTTCGGATATATGATCGTAGTTGCTTGAGCCAGTTTATCTTTAAGCTGTTTAATAGCTTCGACGGCGTCGGAAAACAGTTTGAATTCTTTTGGTTTTCCTTTAAGTGAATCTGTCAAAGGTTGCATTAATTGTGCACAACCTGGTATGAATCTGCGATAAAAGTTAATTAGGCCTAGAAAACTTCTCAGTTGTGTTAGAGAACTAGGTACGGGGTATTGTTTGAAGGTATCCACTTCTTTTTTGATAGGTTTAATCCCTTCTGGGCTTATTGTGTGACCGAGAAATTCTAAAGTTTGAACACCGAAAACACACTTACTTTGATGTATGTTTATTCCATGTTCATCCAGTCTTTTCAACACTGCTTGTACATGCTGTTCGTGTGATTGCAAATCGGGGCTGGCAATTAACAAGTCATGTATGTACCCCTGCGCAAATGGCATATCTCGAAGTAGGTTATCTATGAATTTTTGAAATGTCTGTGCCGCATTTCTCAGGCCGAATGGCATGCGTACAAACTCGAATAAGCCAAAGGGTGTAGTAATAGCTGTCTTGGGAATATCTACATCAGCCACCGGGATATTGTGATATGCCCTGACTAAGTCAATTTTAGTGAATATGTTCATACCCTGTAAACCGTTGGTGAAATCTTGGATATGAGGTAATGGGTACCTATCTGGTACGGTTTGACTGTTGAGGTCTCTGTAATCCCCGCACGGTCGCCAGTCACCTTCATTCTTCTTTGGGACCATATACAAATGGGATGCCCATTGACTATCAGAGGGACGGATAATACCCAATTGTAGCATATAATCAAACTCAGCCCTAGCGATTTTGAGCTATTCTGGTGCTAGTCTCCTGGGTTTTGCAAACACCGGTGCACCTTCGGTTTTGATAGTGTGACTCACTTTAAGTTTGTCCTTAGAAGGCTGTGGGTTTGGTTTAGTTAAGTTTGGAAATTCCGCGAGTATGTCTTGGAATTTCGCTGTTGTTACTGGAGGGGTTTGAATCAAGTTAAGAGAGCTGATGTGACTTTCTTTGCCTTTTGTGTAATACGAAGTTTCTTTTAGTGTTAATCGCCGTTTCTTGATGTCAACTAGAAATTCGTATCTCTCTAGAAAGTCCATACCCAGTATTGCCAGATCTAAGTCGGCTACCGTGAAAATCCAAGGGAATTGCCTCCTGAACCCCAAATCTAGGGTTAAAGTTTTCTGCCCAAATGTCGCGATTTTAGTTTTATTTGCAGCTTGAAGTGTAATTGATGATGTTTCTCGACTCAGCTCAGCTTTATTTTGAGGGATGATGCTAAGAGCAGCGCCAGTATCCACCAAGAAATTCAAGCCCGAGTTTCTGTCTCTAACATAAAACAAGCGACTGTTTAGGCGCCTCTCCTCAGTCGTCGCGACCTGGGGAGGGGTTACTCGTTTCCCGATGTCTTAGAATTATGCTTAGGCCAGGCGCATGTTTGCATGGACTTGGGTGAGTTGACACCAAACTTCCAGTGGTACCAACAAAACTGCCCAAATTGTCTGGACATTTGTGACCTGTTTTGTGACTTGGATAGTGGTCGTTGTGATGACTTGCTCCCGTTCCTATTACCCATTTGCAAGTCTTTATTAAGATCGTCGCGCAGTCACGGTGGAGTGTGCGATTAACTGTTCAAACACACAAAGCTTTTCAACATTCAATATAATATAACAGGAAATATGATGCTTATACAAAATAAGGAAGTGAATGAATAATTGGGATCTATTGTTTTGACATGTATTTAATTGTTTGAGATCAATCTCGGCTGTTACATTAGCTGCCCTTTAGAATCGGCTTCCGTAGTAACGTCGGTTCAATTAATCTGTCAATCAAGTACACGTACGTTCTGTTTCCGCCACCCAAAGGAGCATTACAAACTCGCTCAGTGTTTGGTTTTCAATGGATGGGGACTAAATCCGTCAAAAATCGACGATAGTCCATAGATATCTCTTAATGTAGTACCTTGTTATCTTATTTTGTAGCATTTAATTTCTTCCACAACTATCGCTGACGGTTTGCTACGTACCTCTGTATGGTGATCAGAGCTTGTAAGAGAAACAAGAATATCTGAGCAAGTGCCACGAGCGGGCTACGCAACACCACGTTGGTGAAGCGCGAGTTTTCCATGCTCTGTCCTGCTATCGGGTGTTTACTCACCTGCCTCTTGGGTCACCCTCAAGTAAAAAAATAAAGAATCTACTTCGAAAGCAATAATGAAAACCAATAAAACCTGAAGAACTGCCTCACTGCCTGCATGAAATAATAAGGAAATATAATTGGTAATTTTTCGGTTCCGTGTGTTTGGCTTCGAGAATGGATCGGTAATCTGGAAGGTGATAGACACGGTGTAGACATCTTTTATACGAAAAGGTATGAAAACAAAAGAATTTCTTAAGATACATATATGTAAATGTGTGAATTTGCCTGAAGTTGAATTTTTAACCAAGATAGATCCAATATATGACCTTGAGTCTATGGAGACCGCCCTTTGTAACTGAGTTCGTAACCGCATGTGGGTAAGTGTGCTACTTAACCCGGGAAAGTAGAATATCCTGTTAAGGGAAGGAGAATTATGGAGTACGGGGATCGAGTACATTTGTGCCAGCCACCATCTGATGACTTGATGTAGGTGTGCATGATATACTGAATTTACAGTTCGAGGACTCAAATCTAAGCCTTACGAAGAACGCCTCCGTTCACTAGACCTTTACCCACTAGAATATAGGCGTCTTAGAGGTGATTTATTAATGGCTTATAGTATTCTTAACACTTCTGGACATCCTCTTAAACACCTACTTAAGCTTAGTTCGAACAATAACCTAAGGGGTAACACCCAGAAACTGGAAACACAACATAGCAAGACGGAATGTAGACACAACTTCTACTCCTTAAGAGTTGTCAAAAGCTGGAACTCGCTGCCGGCCGAGCTAGTCCAAGCGACTTCTCAGGAGTCCTTCAAGAGGCAACTTGACCTATTCTTAAGGACCAAGGACAGCATCGCACTATGATTTACCAATTTCTTTTCCTCTTTTATTGTTAACATACCTAGGTTCCTGCCTGGAGGATTTGGTGATCCCCTGCTACTAGACACGGAAGCCTGTTAAGCGAAAGCTTCTTCTATTCCGTCCACAACCATTTGAACCATTTGAACCCAAGATCTCTGGGCAACGAGTTGGTCTGCACATTTTAAGTGTGTAAGTTTTATTAGTCATAAGTATTTTAAATAATTAATCAGTGTGAAGAAATGTCATTACAGGCCGGTGTGTTCTATCGGCTAGTTTGTGGTCTAGCGTTCAGGAGGTCAATGGCTCGATTGCATGTGGGGCCGACGTTTTCGTTCACAAACTCACCTGAATACGGTGTTTGCTGATTGTAAGTTGTTCAGATATGTAGAAAGATAACAATAAAAGGGCAAATAAGTATTCCGAAGTGCCCCAAAAAGTCACATTGTAACACTGTTAGCTGCTTAAAGTATGCACAGTACAAGTGTCTTCGGTTTATATTAATAATAAAGAAATATAAAAGCCACGTGTGTGGTATGCTTTAGTTATATGACAAACAAGAAAAAATACTACTTATATATATAAAATATGTTTTCTTTCTACATAATACTAGTGGTAAGGACCAGAATTTTGTGTGAACCCTTGACGAGAATTGATTTGACGTATGGCCGTGAGATTTATGTCGTAAACTCAATGTCCTGATTATCTAACGGATCGCTTATAAAATGAGTGAAATCAATAAGGCTATAATAGTTGTGCTATAGGTAGTATACTGTACGATATCTTCAGTTAATTAAGTGTTCGTGAATTGATAAAGTGTATGCAAGCCATTAGAGCTTAGGTTCTAGCCAAGGAGAGTATAACTCCCAACCTATCTCTATGATAACGGTATGAAATTTTAGTCAGCGTTTGTATGAAGGTAGTTGTGAGAAAACACTATTTGTGTAAAGAATTATTAGTCAGATTATTGACTGTTTGCTATCTTACTTTCATCGCTTAGATCACCCATATTACGTGCTTGTCCAGGTCGTAAGAAAGCTTTATGGTGATTTCAAGAAACCCCTTATGAGTAGCTTTGATTTGGGGATTAGCTTTGGGAAATACCAAAAATTAAAAAATATAATAGAAGAAACATTGAATGATGCAAATGAAACTGAGTTATATGATTACATTTTAAATCATGCTACAGTAACACTCGTTACCCTAGTGCATAATCTTTACAAGTATGTAGAACAATAATACAATAAGGGCCACTAACAAGTACTTGACTATTGTTTGATGTACACTTGATATTAGTATTGGTCGTATAAAGCTAATAAACTTGTCTTATACAACAAAACGGTTTTGAAAGTGGCTCGTATGAAATGTATACAACCAGTCTAAGGGAAAAAAATCTGTATAAGTTAAAAAGTATTAAAAACAGTAAATTTATCAGGAAAGGAAAAAAAACTCACCTTGGTGGTTCTTGGACTTTGTCGTTATTTGAGGGTTTATTGTTCGGATTTATAGAACTGGTTCATAAGGAACTTCCTCATTGTCTATTATTAGAGATAAAATCTAAGAAAATAGTTAGTTTGGCAGGTGAAGCTTGCTCACATCACTCACCTTAGTCGAACATCCTTCGTTCTTTTGTAATATCCTTTTTTATATGCATTCACCTTATATTACTCAACGTGTGTTTACGGATGAAAAGCTTATGTATTCAGTACTAAAAAAATAAATATAACGCTCATGTATCAAAAGTAAAAGGTCTAAGGAGTGTGAAAAGCATGATACTGCAGGCTACATTTTTTGGTAATGTGTTTGTTAATCAAATAAATTGAGTGAAACGGCAAAAAAACAAAACTAAGTTAAATAAACACAAAACCTTAGTAGATACGTGGTTACATTTTAGTCTGCAGCCAAAACTGTCAATATTCTTGACTGACTAATCGGTTGTGCCCATCTAACCGTATTAGCTACTTGTAAAGATTTATCGTTCTTACTTGTCGATTCTGTGATTGTTTTGTCAGGCAAACGGTCTAACTACATATATGGTGGTTCATGATCTGGATGAGCTGGTTTTAATCTTTCAATACTTACGGAGTCCATGTTTCCCTGTTTCTCTATCATGAAATATTTAAAATTCTTTTACATGGCCTTGAAAGGATCTCCAAATGGAGGGCCAAGCGGTGCTTTTATTTTGTCACATCCAGACGTGCGTGCAATTGTTTAGATCCTTAGGTATATGTATGGCTCGCGATTGTTTACGAGTATTAATTGGCTTGAGTTTGGACATATGGTCCGGTAGTTGATATACGTAATTTTCTAAATCAAGCTTTTTACTGTCGGTATGCAGATTAATAAACTCACCCAGTAGTGTAAGAGTCGTTCCGAAGACGAGTTCCGTTGCTGAACACTGTGCGTTAGTTTTGACAGATGTTCGTATTCCCAACATAACTAATGGTAGGAATTCTGTCCACTGATTTGGATTCGAGTGCGATATAAGGGCAGTCTTAAGTTGACGGTGGAAACCTTCTAACATCTCATTAGCGTGAGAGTGATATGCGGTGCAAAGTATTCTATTGGAGCCTAAAAGTTTAGTTAAGTTATTAAATAATTCATATTCAAACTGTGCTCCTCTATCTGTCGTTATTGTTATGGATGTACCATATGCGAAGGGGATACCCATTGACTATCAGAGGGACGGATAATACCCAGTTGTAGCATGTAGTAAAGTTCAGCTCTAGCGATTTTGAGCTTATCTGGCGCTAGTCTCCTGGCTCTTGCAAACACAGATGCACCTTCGGTTTTGATCATATGACTTACTTTTAGTTTGCCTTTGGAAGGCTCTAGGTTCGGTTTAGTTAAGTTTGGAAATTTTGCTGTCGTTACTGGAGGAGTTTGTATGAAGTTGAGAGATGTGATGTGATTTTCTTTGACTTTTGTGTAATTCGAAGTTTCTTCCAGTGTTAAGCGTCTTTTTTTAGTGTCAACTAGAAATTCGCATCTCTCTAGAAAGTGCATCCCCAATATTGCAAGATGTAAATTGGCTACAGGGAAAACTTAGGGTAATTGCCTCCTGAACCCCAAATCTAGTGTTAAGGTTTTCTGCCCAAATGTCGCAATTTTAGTTTTATTGGCAGCTTGAAGTGTAACTGGGGATGTTTCTCGACTCAGCTCAGCTTTATTTTGAGGAATGATATTAAGAACAGCACCAGTATCTACCAAGAAGTTCAAGCCTGAGTTTCTGTATCCAACATAAAACAAGCGACTGTTTAGGCGCCCCTCCTCAGTCGTCGCAACCTGGGGAGGGGTTATTCGTTTCCCGTATTCTTGGGATTCTGTTTACGCCAGGCGCATGGTTGCATGGACTTGGTTGAGTTGACACCAAACTTCCAGTGATATCAATAGAACTGCCCAAATTGTCTGTACATTTGTGACTTGGGTCTTGGTCGTTGTAGTGACATGCTCCTGTTTATGTGACCCATTTGCATTCTGTTGACAGGTTCAGTGAGACTTTTAGCACTCGCAATTAGTCCTATGACTGGGTCTTTTGGTTATCCTTCTTTTTGTGTGAATTATCGTGCATGACCCAGTTCGAGGACCACTTTCCATTATTCTATCGGCTATACGCGCTGAATGAGATAAAGAGGTTTCAGGATCTTGTGTACCCAAATAGTGTTGGACGTAGCGTGGGTGAGCTTGTACCCATTCGTGTTTTAGGACTACTTCACCCACTGTATTGTCACCCACTAAGACTTTGAGGTGACGTAAAAACTGTGACGGCAACTTATCACCTAATTTTTCTCCTTGGAAAGCCATTGGGTTATTCGACCGTCTGATAATGATAAACGGTTCATTATCTCTCGTCTTAAGATGGTGTATGGTTGTGGTGATGGTGGACTGAAAATCAAGTCACGGTATCTAGCAGGAAACGCGCAGCAATCGCAAGGCTCGATCTGTTTCTAGCAGGAAACAACCATTCGGAATCGCACAGTATGTTTGACGTGACTGTAGTTGCTACTCCAATGAAATTTGACGAATGGGTACAGGTCGTAATCAAGAAACGACAACGATGTAAAGGAGAATCCTATCCTTCAAAGTAGTCAAGAATTGAAGACTGATCACGGTGACAGGTCAGTTACTTTTCATAGAATCAAGGGGAGTGAAATCTCTGAACCGAAAACTCATTT